AAAAGTATAGTTAGAATCACTAATGTACAAACAGATCCATATATTTTAAGTATACATTTCATTTATACTTTAAGACAATGAAATAATATGTATTTCATTTCATTAACATTTACTGTGGAAAGTCTGATTAGTACTTCATTTAAAATTTTTATTCATCAATGATAAAAAATACAATTTTCTTTATATCATATAAGATAACACAATAGGTTTCTTAAGTGTGCATCTAACCAAGTAATTAAATATAATTAACTTTATTATCACAAAGAGGAGTACCTGCTCAATTTTTATATTTATTGATTTAACTTATGTATTATTCTTTTATTGGCATATAAAGATGAACATTCAATTTCAGGTAATCACCTTTTCCTATTCTCTAATAATAAAATTTAACATTTAATCAGTGTATGCAATATCAATTATTTCTTGACTCAAGCGGTAACAATGAATAAACAGAAAAAAAACTCAAGTCTCCAGTCATCAATTTATTCTTTGGATTACAAATATAGTATGAAAATTTAACTTAAGGCTCTTTAAACCTATAAAGCCACTAAAATATACAAGCAATTTTAAATGTGCACAAATATAGCACTGTAGCACTGTCCTCCCGTTGTTCATCGATTTGCTCAAGTGGGCACCAGTAACACCTCCATTGTGAGACTTGTTGTTACTGTTTTTGGCATATCAAATACGTCACGGGTGGCTTGGCAGGCCCTGCAGTGCGGGTGGGATACTCTCGGTAGCTTGCTGGGCTCTCCGAGAGGGATGGAGGATCTGAACCCAGGTCGGCCATGTGCAAGGCAAACGCCCTACCTGCTGTGCTACCGCTCCAGCCCACACAAATATATATATATATCAAACTGAAAGAAGGGACACCACAAATTTGGTTGTTTGAGTGTGGCCTAAACATCCCCCCCCCAAATAAAATAAATAGGACTGTTTTGGCAAAGTATTTAGTAAAGCTATTTCAAGGTGGGGTGGAAGTCTCAAAATTTTGCTTCTGTCACCAGAGAAATAGGACATCAGGTAAGGAACATGGCTGCACGTGGCTGACTGGGGTCCTGCACCACATATGGTCCAAACCATCAGGGGTGGTCCTTGAGCACAGAGCCAAGAGCAGGTGCTGAGCCCAGTCACATGTGGCCCAAAGCAAATAAACAAATAGTAAACATGAAATAGTTTAGATACTTGAAAGAAAAATTCAAACCGAAGTGGTAAGTCTAAGAGCAGAAAAAAGACCAGACTTTTTAAATAAACAACATTCCCAGCTAGTGACTGTTTTCATCTTTATATGCAAGAGACTGGAATTCAGAAAGTTCATCTAGAGTAAAACCCCACTTTATCCCACTTAGCAGTCATATTAATTTATAAAAAACAAATGGCTTGATTTCTACATATTTAAATAAAAACCTATAAATTTTTATCTCAAATCAATGAATTTCAGTGGTACTTACTATCTACATTAATTCTACTATCATTCTTGTTATTATCTAGTTATATTTTTTCTTGATATTCCATTCTTGATATTCAATAACCCAGTGAATTACCTATACTACTTCCTTTATTATTCTGATGCATTATCATTCCGAATAACCCCACACTCAAAATTACTCATTTGGAACATACTTATAAATTAAGTAGTATGAAAAGCTAAAAAGTTTGATAAAACAGAAACACGAGTAATTTTAAAGAAAAAGTGCTCGTTTTTTACAGGGTTGGTGCATATAGTTTTCTATTCTAAGAATAGAACACTACCAAGAGGAAAAGAAAGCTAATTTATCAATTTATTAAAATGAAATATTTAATACTATTTGTAAGATATTTCTGTTTTTTCATACACTCAACTATTATAAAATTAGAAGTGTATTCCAAAGAAATTCAGATTTTTAAAATATTTTTATAATTCAAATATAATTTACTTTCCTGACATGGATTCTAAAGAAATCCAATTCAGAGATATAGTTTCAAATTAAATGAAAAAGCACACTGTCTTATGAAAAGTAAATGAATAAGAGGGATGGAGCAATAGCACAGCAGGTAGGGCGTTTGCCTTGCATGCAGTCAACATGGCTGACCTGAGTTCGATTCCTCCGCCCCTCTCGGAGAGCCCGGCAAGCTACCGAGAGTATCTCGCCCGCACGGCAGAGCCTGGCAAGCTACCCGTGGCATATTCAATATGCCAAACACAGTAACAACAAGTCTCACGACAGAGACGTTACTGGGCCCGCTCGAGCAAATCGATGAACAATAGGAGGACAGTGACAGCATGGCACAATCAACACACTTTCATTACATGGATTCTTTATTTATTTTTAAGATAATACATGCATTTTTACCAATATGGCTTGACAGCATAAAAACTATTTACTATGCCTAATTTTCCATTAATCTGCACAACTTCCACTGAGCTAAAGGGGACTGATTATATTTATAAATAAACAAAACCAAAACGTTAACCACACAATTTACAGCATATTCAGAATTTATACTAAATACCTTATCAGAATAAGAAAAATAGACATGATAAACAATATAATAAAAAAAACTGGAGTGAGAGCACAGCAGTAGGGCATTTGCCTTGTGCGCAGCCAGCCCAGCTGTGCTGGGTTCGATTCCTCCACCCCTCCCAGAGAGCCCGGCAATCTACCGAGAGTATCTCGCCCCCACAGCAAAGCCTGGCAAGCTACCCACGATGTATTCAATATGCCAAACACAGTAACAGCAAATCTCAAAAAAAATGGAGACATTACTGGGCCCACTCGAGCAAACTGATGAACAACGGGAGGACAGTGTTTGTTTGTTGGTTTTCATCAAACTCATTAACTAGACATTATGACTCTAATTTCAAAGTTCTTTAAAGCACAGCGGTAGGGCGTTCGCCTTACAAGTGGCCAACATGGCCGACCCGAGTTCGATTCCTCCGCCCCTCTCGGAGAGCCCGGCAAGCTACTGAGAGGATCTCGCCCGCACGGCAGAGCCTGGCAAGCTCCCCGTGACGTATTAGATATGCCAGACACAGTAACAACAAAGTCTCCAATGGAGACGTTACTGGGCCCGCTCGAGCAAATCGATGAACAATGGGAGGGCCTTTACCTTACCTTACCTTTAAAGCACACATGATATAAATTTGCACTGTTCCCCCAAAATCGAAAGCAATATTACAGAGTATTTGTAAATGGACAACATATTCTTCAACAGAAATACTCAAACTAGGTATTTGTTATGTCCAAACAAACATAAGAGAAAAATTAAACGGTCCAAACATTAAAGAATACTTTTGGTAGATTTAAATTCTAGCAATAGGCATAGAAGGGTAAGAATAAAAATACATGGCCAGGAAGATAGTTCACAGGGCTGAAGCACACCTCCAAGATATGGAGGTCCCCGGCTGAGTCCAGCACTGCCTGACCCCCACCACTGCCCAATATGGCCCTGGTGACTCTGAGTATACCACAGTGGACGAGTGGATGGGTAGTTCTGTGACACCCAGCATTGCTAAACTCAAACAACAACACATCACCAGATTCACACTGAACCAAATGAACCTGCGCTTCCCAGGCTACTGCAGGCTTCTTGTACACTTCTTGGGAGTAACCAAGGGAGATAATAATATTTATCATTAATTAATTAAGGGAGAAGTATGATCCTTTAAGAATTTTTAAATAAGTCTTCAAAAAAGAATTAAAATGGAACAAAAATAACAAAGTAATTAGAACGATACTCTACATGTGCATGCTTGCCATCAGTCTGTACTATACTGTAGCACTGTGGCGCTGTCCTCCCGTTGTTCATCGATTTGCTCGAGCGGGCCCAGTAATGTCTCCATTGTGAGACTTGGTGTTACTGTGTTTGGCATATCAAATGTGTCACGGGTAGCTTTCCAGGCTTTGCCATGCGGGCAAGATAGTCTCAATAGCTTGTCAGGCTCTTTTTTATTTATATGTTTTATTAAAATTAATCACATAAAATGTGATTATGGTTCATTCTTGAACACCAATGTCAAAAGTATGATGTTCAATGAAAATAATAAAAATATAAAACGCAAACGGTAGCATGTTCTAGAAAACAGTGAGAAAGAACAAATGAATAGCTTTACTCCAAGTTACAACTGAAAGCCACAATTTTCGTATTTTCCTACTTCTTCCTTTATCAAAACAAACATGCTTATTACCTAATTTTTCATCTGGCTTATATACACAAATAACTTTTTGAAACACTGCAACTTATAAGAGGATCATGTCTCCCATTGTTGACAAAAAAATATAAATTCAGTTGTGAAACTAAACAGAAAAAGTTATCAAGTTACCTAATTATCTAGCACACTGAAAAGGTAAATGCTAAAATATGTGTTTTGGGCTCAGAAAATAATTGAAGAAAAATCAGGATAATCTTTGAAACTGACATTCAAAGTATTTTTTTAGATATATATATAAGAAGTAGAAAATACAAAATTTTGGTACTCTATCCATACACATGTTCTTACTTTCTCTTTGCCTAAACAGAACAGCACATTATGGAAAGTGGTGAGGATGACAATGACACAATGACAAATAGAAATGGAGTCAATGCAGATACTGTAAGCCAATCCAGCTGAAAAGATAATGGATTTTAATAAATGGTTTTACTGAATCACAAATAATTTAAAATGTATTTGGACTTGAGATCTTTGGGGGGGGGAAAAAAACTGTGTTCATAAGCCTTCTCATTCAAAGATGGTATTTCAATTAAACATGAGATTTTACCTTGAAAATTTCATTTTTTTAGAAACTGACTTTGCTTTGAAAATATTCTTTGGCATATCAGAAGGAAAGAATTCATTTACTATGACTTCTAATGAACCCTATCGCACAAAACCTCATCCCTTCTGCTACATAAGCAGAGCTAATGCATACTGCCCCATGTTAGTGTCTTACCCTAGAAAAGAACAGTTACACTAAAATTTGTATTAATTTTAAAACTTTTATTTCTTAAAATTTATGTGTTACTGACATTTTAATACTTACGGCTATCATAACATATGTTTCCTAGAGCCCTGCCAGTTTGAAGCAGCACTTCCTGGTCTTTGCTATTCAGCAGCTGTACCAGGGGTGAAATCAATCCAGCATCCACACAGGGAATTCGCATAAATTCTGAAAAGACACATTATTAAATTAAAAAAATCTAAAGATTCAAAACTTATAAACCCTTCTTTTAAGGACCCCCACAACTGAACTGATTTACCATTTAAAAGTGCATTTCTATTGAAAGGACCATTACAATTCTACTAAACACTGCATAAAGTCATCCCAAAACAATGATTTTGGGCATATTTTTCTTAGCTGATAGTCTGCCATAAACTAAACAGATTTTTACAAAACTGTTATTATGTACTAAAACTCTATTCTAAGGAAGCTACTACTATTTTCTTACAATAACTGCAAATGCTTGGATGATGATACACAATGATGGAAAGGGCAGCAATATTCATTCTACTAACCTGGTCATTACATATCAGCATTATAAACCACATAATCAAGCTGTGTAATGATTCCCAATTGTTCATTAATACTGTTTATTTTTATTTGGTTTGGGGGACACAATGGGCAATGATCTAATGGCTGGACTTGAGGGACAATATGTGACGCTGGGGATCAAACCGTGTTTGCGGCATGCAAAGAAAATGCCTTACCTGCCATACTATTTCTCCAGCCTGCAATTTTCTTTAAAGGTTTACACAAACAAGTAAAATTAATAGATCTTTTTCAATTGGCAAGTACTACTGCAACCATCTATTTCTTATTTTCATTCTTTTATTAAAATTAATGTAATGGATTATTCATATTTTCTTTACATAAATGCTTTTTGCTGTGTCTCATGAGAGACTACTACAAAATTGAAGAATACTATAATTGGTAAAAATTATTTAATAGGCAGTATTAAGATTATCATTTTGAAAATGATTTACTGGATGTTCTAGTTAACAGTTAAGTGATCAAAGAGATAATTCCTTACCAATAACCCATCTTATGAAAAAATAAATCTATATTTTCAAAGTTATACTTAGAAAGGGGGGGCACTACTTAGTTTCTTCCACCAAGTACCATAAAAAGCAAGTCCCTCTTTTCATTTTCAAATTCTTAAAGCACAATCATATAGCTCTCTTATGTGAGCTACACTGCTCCTATAACAACTTATTTTCCCCTCTTACAACAGGAAGTTACAGAAACATTCCTCTCAAACTAAATGGAATACTTTATATCACAAGCCATTTATTTTCATGTTGTATTAGCAAACAGTCTTTGCAGTTTAAATATAAGATTTATAATTTAGAATGTTCCCAACCTTAAAGCCAACTTTTAAATATAAGGTTGATGGAATTTTGTTTTTGTGTTTAAACTCGACAACACGCGGTATCTCACCACTTACCAAAAAAAACAATTACAATAGCACTCAGAGATGTACTACAGTAGCACATGCCTTACTAGGGCAAGTTCTATTCCCAACACCATATACCTTTCTGTCCCGCTCCACCCCTGCCCCCTCATACACAGGATCACTCCCTAACCTCCACAATAATAAAAATTGCTGTGTAGGACTAGCAATGATGACACACGCCGGGCCTCTCAGGATAGGGGAGGAGCTGGTCCTTCTCCCCTGTGCCAATGGGACCTTGCTGCCCACGAATGCCTCCCCCTCCACCACCACCCCACACACACTGATTAAGCTCCTTAATGGCCATGATCCCAGAGACACACAAATGAATCTCAGACCCAAGTGGCTCTTGTCAGAAATCTCTCCAGACCTAATTATTAAAATTTTAGAATTCCAAGACCACATGGCCACTTCCATGGCCACGCGACACCATATGCTACTCATAACCAGCATTAGAAAGCAAATTGCCTAATGCTGCCTTTTCGGTAGTGTTGGGAGAAAATTCCGAATAATAATGGTGGGACTGGTGTCAAAATATTGAGTGTAATCAAAGTAGAGAGAGAGTAATATAGAAATTATCTGCCATACAGGTAGGATAGGGGTGGGATGGGGGGTATAGTGGAGCTTTTGGTGGTGGAAAACAAGAACTGGTGAAGGGATGGGTGTTTGATCATTGTATGACTGAGACTGAAACACAAAAGCTTTGTAACAATTCTCACAGTGATTCAATAAATAAATTTTTTTAAAAGTACTGTGTAATTTCATTAATTCAATGAAAAGCTATGAGAAGAAACATCAATCTATTTGTCCACCTCTTAAACACTTTATATATTTAAAATCTTGGATTAAGATGTTATCAAATCAAATTAATCATACTGGTGGTAGAAATTCATTATCCTTTCCACCTTTTCCAATTCTTAGTTCCTAATAGTGGTATCACTTCAATGAAAATATTTTGATTTCTGAAATAAAACATTTAAGAATAATATGATTAGTGTTCTTATTTTATAAATGAAAACTGTTCTCAGACCAATTTTATTGTGGCTCACTTTTATTGAACTCGATGGGCAGAATTTTTACAAAACAGAGGTTTGTGGTACATCCAGAAATCTTTCAGTGCCACTTTTCTAACAACACATGATCAGTTTGTGTCTCTCACATTTTAGTTAATTTTCACAATATTTCAAACTTTTTCCTTTTTATTATATCTGTCATGGTAATCTGAAATCAGTTTTTTTTAGTTAGAACTATAATTTGGGGGGAACACTAACAATACCCCTAAGACTACAAACATAAATTTTATTTTTTATTTAGGCAATGCAATTTATAATATTGCCAATAATAGAATTTCAAGTTAATGAAGTTCCAACACCACATAGCCAACCTGTGTTAATGTCCCTCCACTAAGGCCCCCTCCTACACATCCTACCCCCTTAGAAGTTGACAAAGTTTACCACTGAAAGTGCTTATCCCAGTGAAAGCATGATTGACTAAGCACTATAAGCACTGCAGCACTGTCCTCCCGTTGTTCATCAATTTGCTCAAGCGGGCACCAGTAACATCTCCATTGTGAGATTTGTTGTTACTGTTTTTGGCATATTGAATATGCCACAGAGAGCTTGCCAGGCTCTGCTGTGAGGGCGGGATAGCTTGGATAGCTTGGTAGCTTGCCAGGCTCTCCCAGAGGAAAGGAGAAATCGAACACGGGTTGGCCACCCTACCCGCTATGATAAGTGCACATAAACATATTGACTTAAAAAAAAAAAGTAAAGCCATCTTACAGTGACAAGAAGAAAGTTTGAGTAGTCTGCATAGATTAAACTAGCCATAAAATTCCCTTAAGCCAAAATCCAATCCAGAGCAAAACCCAAATTTACCACAACTCAATAAAGGCTTAGAGAGGTGAAGAAACTGCAAAAGAAAAGTTTGGAGTTAGCAAAGGTTATTGTATGAAGTTCAGGAAAGAGCTGAGTCCATAACATAAAACCATTAGTAGTAAGCACTAATGTAGGACAAGTTTATCCACACCTAGCCAGCTGATGAAGATGACTACCCTAAAACAACATGCTTTCAACACAAATGAGTCATAAAAAATTAGGAGAATATAAATCAATGACTGCATATCTTTAAATGACAAGCTGATTCTTTCTGTAAGGGGCAAATTCAGCTTGTGACATTAAGTTGAAGTCAAGGTTCGTTTACCATTTCTAAAAATCCAAAGGTTTTTGAGTCTTGGTTTATTTTTGTTTTGTTTTTTTTTTTACTTTTTTATTGAATAACTGTGAGATAGACCCTAGAAAACTGTTCATGATCAGATTTCAGTCATACAGTATCCCAACACCCATCCCTTAACCAGTGTACATTTCCCAGCACGATTGTCCCCAGGTTCCCTCTCACCCCGCCTCCCGCCCCCCAGCCTGCCTCTATGGGCTTTGTGGTTTCCAATACTGATACTGAAAGGTTAATCACAAATTTCCCTTAACCTACTTTTAACACTCAGATCTTGTCCAGTGTGATCATTCCCAGCTATTATCGTCATATTGGTCTCTTCTCTATCTTACCTATCCTCTGCCCCACACACATTTGTGGCGATTCCAGTCCTCCTAGCCCCGTTTACCTTGGCCATGGATATTAGTCTTTTAATATATATATATATATATATATATATATATCACAAATGAATGCAATCATTCCATATCTGTCCCTCTCCTCTCACTCATTTCACTTAGCATGATACTCTCCATGTATCCAGAAAAATCCTAAGGTTTTAGAAGCAAAATCTACTCTGCCTTTTGTGCTCTATTAATAGAAAAATGAATCTCAACACAGTTTACTGAAGATTTTAAACTCAATCTTGAGAAAGTTAAGAAAAAAATAAGACAATGTACCTGAACACCTAAGCATTCTAATGGAGTTAAATAAGATATTTTAATGTTTCTATGCCTGCTAATTCACATGTCATTCTGCAGCTCCATGAATCAAGAGTAAATTCAAATTTCAATTTACTCCTTTTTGGAGGAAAAGGGGGAAGGTTCCCAAATGTTCTCAGTGGGTCCAGGGATCCCTCACAGCAATTCTCAGCCAACCAGGCTGGCTGTTTAATGCAAAAGAATGCAGTGTTTCCCAGCAACTTAATACAGAGGATAATGTGGACCCTTCCAGCAGTACTTCAGGACAGCCAGGGCCACAGAGGAGCTTGAGGGCCTCCAGGGCTGCACCCAGCAATGTCAGGAGTACCATGTGGTGCTGGAAATCAAAACAGGATCAGCTGCATGCAAGGTCTAACTTCTGTGCTCTCTCTCTGCTTCCAAGAGTCAAGTTTCTTCTTAAAAATATATTATATTAGTGGTGGGGAACGTACACTGGTGGAGGGATAGGTGTTGGAATGTTGTACTACTGCAACTCAATCATGAAACTGCATCTCAAGGTGATTTTAAAAAAAAAGTCAAAATAAAAGAATATGAATATATACATATATATTTATTTTAGGACCAGAGAGATTGAAAGGAATTAAAGGACTTGTAGCAAACCCTGATTCAATCCCCAGCATTCCATATGGTGCCCCATGCATATCCAGGAATTACTCCTGAGCACAGAGCCAAGAATAGCGCCTGAGCACTGCAGGCTATGGCCCAAAGACCACCTCCAAAATGTGTGCAATCCTATAGGTACAGTTGAAGCCTTTTAGAAAGTATTTACCATTCTAGATGTCATTAGA